AATATAATATAATAATCAATTAATATTATTAAAGACAAAAAATAAAGTTAAAATCAATTAGAAAAGTACTAATTAAAAATCGTGACCAAAAATTAAAAAATTAAAAAGGATAAATTTGTTAAGAAAATTTAAAAATTTCAATCTATTAGTGATTTAATAAAATAAGCTACCTTAAGTAGCTTTTTCAATCTACTAGTGGTTTGGATTCTAATCATTATCCGCTAGTTCCAAGTTATTAAATAAAAAGTTTCATTAAATATTTAATTTGTAATGGCTTCAAAATAAATAAGTTTACCAAACATTTATTTTTAACAATTTGGGTAAACTACTTTTAAACTGTTATACCAAACAAGCTCTAAAATAAATTACAAAATTTTTGAATTTTAAGGTGATGTGGGGAATTAACACAAAAGATTTGTTAAAGGAAAATTGAGATTAAATCAAGTTAATGTCATTTTGTACTGAATTGAAAAACATTTAAAATAGGTGTTTTGTTTTGCAGGGACCTGATTGTTATATGGATTAAATAGAGGGATTAAAGTGTCATGTGGACAAAACCTATCGAGTAAAGCGCAAGGAGCCCTATTGCGAACCGAAGCCGCCCTCCCCACTTGCAAAGAGGGGCAGGTTGACTCTTCCCCACTTCTTCCCGTAACATCTCGTCTTACTCTTTAATCCCTCACCATGTGAAGGAGGTATCATTACCTGCAAGCCACGTCACTTGTTCATTCCCCTCAGCCCATGGATTTGAAGGAGGTTGCAGATTGGAGGGAATCTAGGGTCCTAGGTGGGTGGCAATGGCAAAGAGATAGCAACCTAAAAAGGGATAAGTTGGGAAAGGAAAACCTATCCAAATTTGGAATCAAGTCAATAAATAACTAAATGTGTACCTAAACAATTAAAGTGCAAAATTTAAAAAAAGTAAGAGAAGAGAGGATATCAAGCATAATGATTTATAAAAATTCAGTCACAATTTGTACTTAATTCACCTCTTAAGTTTTTGCTTGAGAGTTTAATTTGAATTAAAATGTTTTCCTCCAACTTATAAGTAGAGACAATCGTGCATATATTGACACTATTTTTTTTTTTTTATGTTGGTTATACAATGAGAGATAATTTTCTCTCATCTTTTATCTTACTTTATCCGCATGTCATGCGACTCGAACTTATAACCTCTTATTTCTAATGGAAAGAAATTATCACTAAACTATTTAGATAGTTAACACGTATTGATACTATTCACTTTTAATAACTTGCTCCTTTGTTACAATCTCTCTCAAAACTCAATCCTAACCACAAAGAAGCCTTGTTAGATTAAATAAGGTTTTCCCTCAAACATTCACTTACCCACATAATGATAAAGAAATTGGTAGAAAAACAGAACACTCTAACAATTTAGTAAACAACAGAAGGTATAGGAATAAGACTTGGATAATGAGATCTTTTTCACAAGATTAACACTTAGGGCTTTTTCTCACTTGTTTTTCCTGCTTTTTGTCATCAGTCCTTTCAACAAGAATATACAAATCCAAATCAAACTAGTGGTTGCTATTGAAAAGGAAAATCTTTTATTTCAAGATTTGTCAAAATGTTTTGAAACTTATTTAACATGGTCTGGAACGTTGAAATCTTAAATCTTGCTTTCCTTTGATGTAATCACGAATATGGAAATCCCAAACTCTGTTTAAGGAAGAGATTAATAGCCCTTTCAAAAGAGATTTGTATATTATTCCATAAGCTTGTTTCCAAATGTGAATGTGAAAGCCCTAAAGCATGATCTTTGAATTTGAAAACTTGTATTCTAAATATTCAATTTACACTTGATTTTGATAATTATAAAAAATTAAGAACAACAGGCAAGGCTGGGTAGGATCAGGGACGGCTGGGATTGAAGGAAGGCAATTGGATGGTTGGGGTTTTGTGTCTCCCTCCTTTGATTTTGCCAATAGAAGGGAGAGAAAGATCTCGAGTAATGGAGGGGCCACAGAAGGAGAAAAAGAGAAGGCAGGGAGAAAAAGTGAAAAGGAAAAAAAAAAAAAAAGAGAAGAGAGAGAGAAGGAAAAGGGCAGAATAGAAAAGAAAAGAAAAGAAAAAGCAGGGGAAAAGAAAAGAAAAAGCAGGGGAAACGAAAAGGAGAAGGTAGAGAGGAAGGAGAAAACGGAGAGAAGAAAAAAAGGAGAAAAAGAGCATAAAAAAAAAGAGAGGAACAGGGGATCGGAGGGAAATTTACATTTAGATATTTGATCAATGGACCTATGAGCCTCCCTCATATATTGTTGTTGTTGGAAATTCTCTTTTGTACTGTGACTTCACATGTATAGGTTCTGAATTCTTTATATATATATTATTTTTGTGATTTCCTGCATTTTTTTTCCAAATTTTTTAGTTCTCCGGGAGCTCGGAAATTTGGCCGGGACTCGGCCAAATCCCGGTGACTTCGCCGGCTTCTGGAAAGAATCCTGCACTCCATTTTTTTTTTCTTTCTTTGATTTTTTATTGATACATTTAAATAGATTATATAAAAAAAAATAAGTATTTTTTTTTCCTAAATCCCTCCCTACACACTCAAAATTAAAATTTGAAATTTCAATTTGAAATATCGAATTCTTAATAATTGAATTATTCCATTAGTGTCCTCTTTTTTTTTTCCCTTTAGTTGGGCTGAGTTTGTTTTTGGAATTGGACCGAAAGAAAGAAAGAAAGAAAGAAAGGATGAAACGGGCCAAAGCCCTAACCAAATTTTGACCCAACAAATACAAAAAAAGAAATGATGAAACGGGCCAAAGCCCTAATCAAATTTTGACCCAACAAATAAAAAAAAAGGGTTCCTTTTGATTAATTAATTCGCAATGATTAATTAATATTAATTAATTATAATTAATTACTTTAATTGATTCTCATTAGCTCTAATCACGGTTTTGATTAAATTAATTAAAATTTAATTAAGACAGTCAATTTTCTTTAATTAATTTTAATCAATTTGATTAATTATCGTAATGAATTAATTTTCAAATTTTACACTTAACTTTTCAATTTTCATATTTTTGAAATCTTAGGCGATCTTGAACATGGTGACTTAAAAAATCTCTACGATGGCCATAACAAATTCCTGGTGAGAGCATACTTTCTAACTTCTACTATTGTGTTCTATTTATTTATTTATTTATTTATTTTTTACATTGTATTATCGAACGATCATATAAAAATAGATAATTTTTTTCTTTTTCAAATCTTTTTACGTCTAACTCAAGGTTCAAGATTAAGAATTTTAGACTAAAATTTCAAATTTTAAATTAGTTTAGTCATTTCCTTAAAAATCACCAACCCTTATTTTCTAAATGTAGAAGTCATGTTTTTAATTTAAGGGTATGTTTGGTTTAGGCTTTCCTTAAAAAAAGAATTCAAGAAAGTCCAGTCCTTTTTTTACCAACAACTTGACTTGGAAAGTTAGAATTCATAATAAATAAAATATATATATATATATATATATGGTCGATTATAATGTGCTATAACTAGTTATCAAGCCAAAATTTTGCTCAACTCAAAGGATGGCACATTTTCTTCTTTTGCAAGTCTTTTTCTTTGGTTTTGGAGGCCGCAAAGCTAACTGTATTGCTGCATCAAAAACACCTTCACTAGGGGTAGGCATCGGTGGGTTTGGTGGCCAAATCAATTAATAATAGTGGTTAATTGCCTTTTCAGTTGAAGAAAAGTGTCAATTGTTTATCGAACTAGATTTAATTTAGTTGTGTCAATTTAGCGATTGAATCATCTTGGTTTTTTAATTTTGATTTCAATTTTAATTGAAAGAGATTTTTATGAGAGGAATAGAGGAGAATAATAGGAGATGAAATTTGTGATGACAACATGTTGTCATCTTACAGTCAGAAGTTAGTCCATAAGATGAGAGATATGGAGTTTTTATACTTAGAAATGTAAAAGGATGACTTATTTTTGGGTTCTTTTGATTTCTCTT